TACTTCCTCATACTCCCTAGTCACATGATCTTCTGTAAGGAAGAAATCCTTGGATCGCCTAGCTACCCTAAGCGATCCCCATTTGCTATAAGAAATCTGAATGTGCCTGTCGAGGGTTGCGCCTCTTATTATGACAAGTATCACGTGAACACGTGATTCGTGACAAATATAAAGTAAAATTTAGAATAAATATTAAAGTAAATATACTACTTATCTACTAAATATACTTTATTTATAGTAATTATATTAACTTTTATATAAAAAGAAAAATCTAGCTATAATATTATATATATTTGTTACTACGCTTTCTTAGGGCTAATAAACATTTATTAGTATCTCTTAGCCTTTACTTCGAGTATATCTTTTAATATACTTAATCTATATAAGAATATCGCGCCTTTCTTAAGTAGATAGGTTTCCTAATCTATATCTTTTAAACTTATAAACTTCTAGCTAATCGATTTATATTATTTATTACCTAAACTCTATAGAAAAGTAAAAATAATTATAATTATTTAAAGATCTAAAAGCAAGTAGAAAAATATAAAACTATAGAATATCAATAATTTTCCTTATCTTATATATACTTTTAAAACTATATCTTTTCTTCTAGTTAAAGATGTTAATACGCTCTTTTAACCTAAGTATAATCTAAAGTCTAATATATTTAAAGGTATAAAGTATTACTTAATATTTAAAAACCCTCTCTTTAAAGTTATAATTAAAATATCGTTGTCACAAATCACGTGCTAGCACGTGAGGAGTTAGTCCAGACGGGGTTCTGACAGGACAAACACATCATGGCTCTTATAGCAAAAAGGGATCGCTTAGGTTAGTTAAGCGATCCAGGAATTTCTTTGTATACAAGTCACGTGATATATGCAGGTCGACTTCTCGCCTGGTCGAGAAGTCGATTATCGACTTCAGGAACACGAAGGTTCTATATAAGACTGGCACGTCTGCCATTAGATAGGAGCTTCGTGCTCAACTTAGTTATCAATCTTATCATATTAGTTTGACATCTTTGATACAAGTAACGAGTTCACTTCCAAGTGAACAACCCGATAGTCTTCTTCTTATCATAGCATACCAACCAGCGAACACCCAGCCAAGTTTAGTTAGCCAGTTTGAGTATTCGTTACAATCGTGTTCTATTTAGCGTCTAATATAAAAGATTAGTAAACTTTATAGTCTTATAGGATTAAAAAATCTTGATTTAAAACTATTTATAGAAGATAAGTTTGGTAAAGTAAATAGTAAACTACTATTACTATTATATTAAGTTAGTATTTTTAGACTCTATAGTAGTAGAAGTAGTAGTAATAATAGCCGAGTCTCTTTAGTATTTATAGAGTCGAAACTAAATTTTATAAAACCTTGATTAGAATTAGATATAAAGGTGTCCTATAGATCTAAATCTATATTAGGTAAGAATAAAGTAATTATATTTAAATAATATATAATTGTTTATATAGAAATTTAAAGTAGCTTATATAACTTACTCTACCGTATATAAAAAGATTTTATTATATAGAAATAAATTTTAAAGGTAAAAGCTAACTAAAAGTCTTAATATTAGTATAAATCTATATCTAAAAATCTAAAGGATTCTAATAATACTATTATCTTAATAATATCTCCTCTAATAATAAAGATACTAGCGTATTTATTTTATTATACTTATATAGTTTTAAGCTACTTCTAATAGTATATACTTAGCTACTCTACTATACCTACCTTTCTACTAAGCGAAGTACTCTATTATTATCTATAGGGCTTAAATTAAGGTTTAACCCTATAAATTAACGATTTATAAGCCTTATATAGCTTCTAGTACTAGGAGACTAGAGTAAGAGGCTCTACTAACTTATTCCTCGTTAGTAAGGCCTAAGGCTCTTATTAGTAAGAATAATAAAAACTATATATTTGTAATCATATAGTACGGTAGTGTCCCACCCCGGTGAATTATAGTCCCGTGATAAATCAATTCTAAGGCATGTGGGGGGGGCCGATAGTGGATATAGGTAAGAGTTACAGAACTTGGGCAACATTCCAACTCAGAGACCAGCTTTCTACGGATCTCTAAACACAAGGGTCCCAACCCACTGTTGTCCCACCCGTATGCCTTAGGCCAAATATGCCTTAGGCCAAATTCGGCTCCCACATTGTGCTGTGTCTACTGTAATACTAGATTTTATTAACAACACTAAGGGCTCACTAAACACCGAAATGCGTTTGACTCCCACATTACAAGTATATGCAGCTAGACTTGTGACCAATTCATATACACATTTACAGGCCTCACAAACGTAAAGTTTTAGTGGGGTTTTTACCATGTACCCCACTTTATCTCAGTTCTCAGTCGCTGGTTTTGGCCGTTTTTGGTGCCGTTTTTGGTTCCGGCTTCCCGATCCCGCTCCGATCCCTCCCCCCTCCCCTCCAACCAATCACACAGCATAGAACCAAACGGCTACCACCAAAATAAAAGCTAAGCCGGAGACCCCCCAGCTTTGAAAATCGCCTACACACATTTATATTATAACCCCACCGCGGTGGACAAAACAAGCGGGACTTTTTTGCTCATGTGTTTTCATAACACCTTCATTTAGTACGCGATGAAAATAGGTGTGATTTTGATGAATTAGTGATGTTAACGCACTAACAAAAAAGTCCCGCTTATTTTGTCCACCGCGAGCCCCCACAACCCCCTCTGACTACTGCTACTATAACTCTATTCCATTACAGACATTAATATTGTAATCGTTTTCAAGTACCTGTGTACTCGTGATATCTCCTCGTTATCGCATATGTACATTCCGATTTTGAGTTGGCGATACCCACTCTAAGTCTTGGTGCTTAGCAATAGTACAACTTAAGTGGTGTTGAGTAAGTCGGACCAAGCCCCGTAGCGCGCCTACTGTAGGCATTATTCCGACCGGACCGGGCCCGATCTCTTAAGTAGGAGATCGTAAACTCAAAAATCGAAATGTACATATGCGATAACGAGGAGAGATGTAAGAGGGAGTATCAATTGTAGTACTACTTTCTAATCATTCAATATATAGGTACAGTCAAAGATAGGAAAGGCTACATAATTCCTAGATTCAAGGGTATTACGGCATGTATATAAAAGCTAAACAACTCACTTTGTTTCAGGCTTATTTCAGCCCAGAATAATTGATGCCCGCATATAATTAGTCGGCCCAGCTCCCCACACTCAAAAGTGGGGCAAGATGTCAGATGGGCAAGCCGAATATGGCCTCAGAAACACTTTATCACGACACGCATACTTGTGTGGTACCTTGAACTTTATTTCACGACGAACTGCAATGCCACCCCTCGAAAGATACACAAACCCCACATCCCCAGATGTTGTTTCTCAGCCGACACTACGGAGGTACACGGTACGCCGAGAGCTGTATCCTTTCTTGACCTATAAGTAAACGGATGTTTCCTGAAAGCAAGAAAAAAAGCAGTGTACTTCTTAACGTACTGCACAATCCTCACCAAGTGATTCTTTTGAAACCACAATTGACATTATGGCTCCCACTAAGCTTGAGAGTAAATGGCCACTCGCTTTAGATCTTTACAATTCCAATCTACCATGTCGCCTGGAAGGCGATGTAGCTGATCTCGTTGTGCTGGGTACAATACCACACGAGATTGATGGAACGTTCTACCGAGTTATGTGTGACCCCCTCCTCCCGCCGCATCCTGGGAATGTGCCTCTCGATGGCGATGGAAATATTTCAGCTCTACGATTCCACAATGGGCGTGTCGACTTCAAAATGCGCTACGTTGACACTGAGCGTCTCAAGATCGAGAGGAAAGCCGGAAAGGCCATGTTTGGCTTGTATCGAAACCCCTTTACTCATCACCCATGCGTGCGAGCGGCAGTGGATTCCACTGCGAATACCAATATTGTGTTTTGGGCCGACAAGTTTCTTGCATTGAAGGAGGGTAGTTTGCCATATCAGGTATTTACCCCCCAAATACCGTTTAATTAGATAACTCTTTTTCAAGCAGAAACTCTAACCCTAATTAATATTCTTTATCAGGTTGATCCCCACACCTTAGCGACGATCACATATGATCCATTCAGGGATCAGGGTATCAAGTCGAAAACATTCACGGCCCACCCTAAGATCGATCCGTTTACTGATGAGATGGTGGTATTTGGGTACGAAGCTAAGGGGCTTGCCACCACCGATATTGTGGTTTATGCCCTCGACAAGAATGGGCAGAAGAAGGACGAGCAGTGGGTAAAAGCCCCTTGGTGCGGCATCATCCATGATTGTGCGATTACGCCGAACTGGTTGATTCTGGCACAATGGCCGTTTGATGCCAGTATAGAGAGAATGAAGAAAGGAGGACACCATTGGGCATGGAATTATGATCGTGCCGCTACTTTTATTGTTATTCCAAGGCGGAAGACCACCAAACTCCCAGCAGGGTGGAAAGAGGGAGAGTACAGAGTCTATACCAGCAAAAATGAAATGCTCATACACACTGCCGGCGCTTGGGAGTCCGACGACGGAAGTACGCTCTACTTGGAAACCACAAGGGTAAGTTCCAGTAAGCTGTTAAAGCATTCAGCATCCTTGGGGGAAAAGTGGGTCATCAAGATATTTTGGCTGACTATCTTTGCACAGGTCCACGACAATGCATTTCCATTCTTTCCAACGGATGACGGGAGGTAAGCTGAATCCTTGGAAACCCACCTTTCTACTTCCATGGTTCAGGATTCAGCAAAAAATATTTTGTATCTTGACCAAATAAGTTGACTAACTCTGTCCGGGAAACAGGACACCTGCTCTAGACGCAAAAGCCGACTTGGTGCGCTTTACGTTTGACCTCAACCAACCCACAGACACCACAGTCACGAAGTCCGAAACCGTTTTGGACTGTCCAGCTGAATTCCCTCGTATCGATGAGCGGTTTCTTTCTAAGAAGTATGATATAGCTTGGTTGAACGTTTTAACACCCCCCGAGCATCGTGATGTCAAATCTGATTTAGAGGAGGATGGAACAATTCTGCAAAGGCTTGACGGGGTGGCGCAATATCATAAATCGACGGGAAAGATTGAATATTACTTTTCTGGGCCAGACGCAAGTGTGCAGGAGCCTGTCTTCATCCCACGATCTGACAACGCCCCGGAAGGTGATGGGTGGGTGATGTTTATGGTTGAGAGGCGAACGACCAACTTGTGCGAGGTGGTGATTGTTGACACTCGGGAGTTTCACAAGCCAATTGCTGTCATTCAACTGCCTTTTCATATGAAAGCTCAGGTCCACGGTAATTGGGTGGACCAGCGGCTCTTCAAAGAGAGAAAGAGTCTAGTTCGAGAGGATGAGGAGTTTAAACATAGTGGGAGGGGTGCTCTGGAGACTTGGGACATTTAAGGTCTAGTTGTTTTAAATAGCACACATGTGGTAGGCTTTTTATATTCATATACTCAGCATTGCTATTTATGTTAGCTTTGTATATGTTGGTTTGACTTATTGTCATATATGAGGTGCAATACAGGAAGAGGCTAAACCTTAGTATTAGACTATTCCTATTGTTGATGCACTTCGATACTGAGCAAAGGTAGTAGGCTAGGGCACCACTATTATATAGTGGTGCCAAGCCCTACCCCTGTACGGTCGAGTGTAGCTACCTAATCGAGTGTAGTTGCCTGATCGGGTATAGCATACAATCGAGTGAATATACCCGATTATATTATACCGACAATATATCTTCTAACCAATTATGGAAGAAATTTGTAGAGCCTCTGTTTTCACCGCAAACCAGAGTATATTATCTTGTTAGTCATCCTTTAAGCATATTATGAGACGTTGCATCAGAAGCTGTATATGCAAATAAATAAGTAAAAGAGCTTAGAGGCTCCGTATGCATAGCTTTGCTTTTGGTACTTTTGTAGAAGCCGATCTAGAGGTTTTCCTATCCCACCAGACCTACTAGTAGCTCGTTTTATTATGAAGAGAGGGGTATGGCAGTGAAAGATTAGACGGAGCGCAAATGATGTTGTCATGTTTCGTATGTACTGGATGCTAAAGCGATGAGATTTGTGGCACGGGGTGTTAAGCGAGTGTTCTTATTTCCTTAATTGAAGTTGAATGCTTTGCAAGAACTAGCAAGACCTGTAGCTAATATCTCACGCAGTATGATTCCTTATAGAAGTGCGAAATGAATGAAAACGTGATTTAATCATTCGCTTAATACCCCCGCTTCACCTTGTTATTCACCTCACTTTCTAATCCTCAGTTAAACCTGGTTGTATTATTTGGGGTTATAAAGGGATGAAGCTTGGGTAGAGGGGGTCCTGAGGGGGTTTAGCGGCAAGGTGAGGAGATAAGCCTGTCGGTATTGAATTTGCTTAATGGAATAGATGGTGATTATCGGAGCAGGCGGGCAATCCGTATAGTGCCTTTGATTCTGTATTATTGTCGCGGCGGTTCTAAGACATTAAAACACCATTAATTTGAATATTTGAGTCTATTAAAATCCATGCAATAATTCAACGAGCTATGGTTATGTATAGGTAGAGAGATAGCGCTCAAAGCTGTACCACTACTAGCAATTAACTGCTAATCACCACAAGGATGACTTCAGGTAACCCACAAGCTATTATTCTCCAATGCCAGAAACACTGAGTTTATCCACGAGCCCTAACCTAGATGCCCATTATCCT